GTGATTTGGCCTTCCTCGAATACTTCTCAATCTTTGGGTAAAAAATTGGGTACTATAGCCGATCATCTTGGGAACGAGAGGGAGAAATTTGGTCAATGGGATTTTGGTTCCCATTGACTAAGAATCTCATGTTCTTTTTTTTTTCTAGATTTATGTGGGGACCAAGGAAATAAGTAATACCCATCTCCTAGGTGGGTATATAACTTTCCCACTTGGGGGAAAAGTTGTCAACACTTGAATGAGACAAAAATGCCCCTTTTAATAATAGATTTTTATGGCTAAAATGGTCATTTCATTATTTACCTGAGAAATAAAAGAACATGGGCAAATGCACTTACCTGGGGAAGTGTTCCCCAAGAAATCCTTACCCAAGTAATTGCATTTACCCGGGTTAGTAACTTACCGAAAAAGCAAACGAGCCTAAAGGATCTTATAGATGGAATAAATAGTGATAGTCCTCTGCAAATAACAACTCCCGATATCTTGCCAAGCAACAGAGTTGCTCTAAAATCACCAGGTTCGAAAATGAAAATATGAACTCAAAAGAGAACCATTACCTCATCATTGGGGGGTGGTCAATGGCATACATCGGAAAGTTGAGATGTACATGAAAGACTTGTTCTAATGCTTCATCTTTAGTTATTTGAAGGTTGTCCATAAATGAAAATGCTCTTGACCGAAGATATCAACGAGCATCATACTCTTTTATTGACATCCTTGACTCGGAATCAAAATGCAATGAATCTTTTTTTCAAGACTTGTTCTTGCCATGCAACAGAGTTGCTCTAAAATCAACAGGTTCGAAAATGAAAATATGAACTTGAAAGAGAATCGTTACCCCATCATTGGGGGGTCAATGACATACATTAGAAAGTCGAGATGTACGTGAAAGACTTCTTCTAATGCTTCATCTTTAGTTCTTTGAAGGTTGTCCATAAATGAAAATGCTCTCGACCGAAGATATCAACGAACATCATACTCTTTTGTTGACATTCTTAACTCGGAATCAAAATGCAATGAATCATTTTTCCAACACTAACTTTGGTTCTCCAACCATAGGCAGGAAATCATCATTATCTTTATCAAACTCGTCCTACTTTTCTTCAACAACTGGCTCTAATAGACCCAACATGAAGGCATCTTCAAGATATCTACATAACCCATCAACAAGACAACAACAATGAACTACCAATTCAAACATGTCGAAACAATTAGAAACAATTATCAGACAACTCTTTGACTCTAAATAAATTGGCACCAAAAGATGCGATGAACAATAGAGCAAATTCATTAAGTTCAAATGAAACATTATCATGATAGTGGGCGTTCTCAATGAATCATTTTTCCAACACTAACTTTGGTTCTCCAATCATAGGCAGGAAATCATCATTATCTTTATCAAACTCGTCCTACTTTTCTTCAACAACTAGCTCTAATAGACCCAACATGAAGGCATCTTCAAGATATCTACATAACCCATCAACAAGACAACAACAATGAACTACCAATTCAAACATGTTGAAACAATTAGAAACAATTATCAGACAACTCTTTGACTCTAAATAAATTGGCACCAAAAGCTGCGATGAACAATAGAGCAAATTCATTAAGTTCAAATGAAACATTATCATGATAGTGGGCGTTCTCACCATGTCGATCGCTTATAGAGACGATGGGGAAGGCATTATCATCTTCAAGCCTGAAGCCTCTAGATAACTCTTTCAAAACAAACTTGGTTAATAGTTTCTTCAATTTGATCAAGAGCAAAAGATCTACTCCATCTCATTCTTCATCCATCAGACCAAGGATCACAGAAATTGCTATGAATTTTGCTTTTCAATAACACTCACACCATGGAAGGTACAAAATCCTCTATTCTCCTCGGTTTTTCTTCTTCCATTTTCTTCTTTCTTTTGAATCGATGATCTAAGATATGTGAATGGTGTTTCAAAACAAAAACTCAAGATACTCGGCCAGAAAAATGCAAAAATCGTTACAAACAATGAACTAAATCCTCCATTGATTTCTGACATAGGTTAGTAATTTTTTTTTATTTCCGCTTTGTTGTTTTTGTTGCTCGTGAAAATTTTGATTTGTGTTGTCAGAATTTTATTTCAAATGAAATTCGATGAACCCAACTTCTGCAATTCTTCTTTCTTCCCTTGATTGGAATTCTTTCTCTTTTGCAATTTCATTTGTATTTAGGGATGACAATTTCTACCTACTTGGTGGGTACTCGCCCCTACCCTCCCCGATGGTTTTTTTTTGGCTTAAATGGCAGGTTTTAGGATGGGTACGGGTTTTGGGATTCTATAACCCATACGGGTATAGGTAGGGTACTGTATTAGGCTAAACCCATCCCTTCCCGACCCATATATTGTTGGAAAGCATATAAACTTTATGTAACAAGTGTTGAATTTAATAATATTTTGAATTTATGTGAATGATAATATAGTCTGTGTTTTTTTTTACATGTCTTAATCAAATAATTAGAAATCTTGGTGTTTATTTATGTTGTTTTACTTATTTATTGCTTATATATGACAAAAAAATAATAGGAAATCATATGCGGGTTTTAAACCCAACCCACCCCTACCCTTGAATGCGGGGAGGGTTTTGCAATTTCATGTGTGGGGAGGATTTGGATTCTCAAAATCCAACCCACTACTGGTTTGGGGTGGGTATGGGTTGAAAGGTTTAGGGAGGTGAGTAGGGTCTAGAATTTACAAAACCCTCCTGGAACCTGCCCCATTGTCATCACTATTTGTGTCTTTGATTACCGGTTAGTATTTCTCAAAACCATGGAAGGGCAACAAGACCATAGCTCGAAGTCAAGAAATCTTATTGGATCAATAACGAGAGCTTCCATTATTGAAGATTGCAATAATAAAAGGGTTAATTATATTTATGGCCTTTACTTGAGCAAATGAATGTGCCCTTGTTTTTTTCTTTTCTTTTTAATAATCAAGACAAGTACCCTTACGCTAGTACCATCAAGTGGATACTTGATTTCGGTGCAATTCATAGAAGTGATAGTATGTATAGATTAGCTTGTACTTTGCCCTAAAAAAGAGGTATAGACCATACAATACTTGACCTACCCCTAAGTTTTAGGAAGTTGACTATTACTACACATATTGCTTAAATAAATTTCTTAAAGTATCCCTCTTATTACAATTGATTAACTCCACCCTTACCATTAATGTGTCATTACATCCCGTTCATGTGTGATATCACGTGACTGACATGATATTTGAAAACCTAAATTTGTGCACACTTTCTTATTCAATATCTTGAACAATCCATAACATGGATTTGAATGGGTTTTATTGAATTTAGAAAACTTGGATAAATTCACACTTTGTTTTTTTCTCGCCAGCATCCTTATAAAATATCTAAAAAAAATAACAGAATTTGTGGGGCTTCTTGGTTTATTACAATGTTTTAAAAAATGACCCAAAGGGCAAACCATTTTTGCCTATAGGTCACGGGTCACCAATTCAACTATCTAGGTTGAACAGGTCAAGTCGCACTACATCAGCAACATGTAAAGTAGTACACACATTTAATATATATATATATATATTATAGGTATGTACAAACATGCATTTTTTCAATAAATAATATATAAAAATATGTATTATTTTATATTTAATTTATGTTCTTAAATTATATTTTAAAAATTTATTTGTAAAAAATACTAAAACTTGCAATTTGAAGCCAAAAAAGTTTTTTTGGTGAAAATAGTGGGACAAGGTGCCTTAGGATGCATATATCTCAAAAAGTTACACAATATAACAAAAAAAATCTCAATTGGACATTAGAGTGCAAAGTTATGGCCTCTCGGAGTTTGTATACATGTTTAGTGTGCAACCCGTGACTTGGTCACCGGGTCAATTGTCCAATTGTTTGGGTCAAACGATTTTTTTTATAAAGTCAACGGTTTTTTTTATTGTCATATGGTTTTACTAAAGATGGACCTGGAATCTTGACCTGTGGTGGTTCAAATGGTTCAATCGGTCGGGTCAATAATGGGTTGAAAACACTTGCTTGTTTTATCTGTTGTTTTGGTCAATTATCATGGAAGTATGCAGTGGGGTTCCAAAAGAACCAGAGGATGTTTAATTGGCGTGGGCACGATCCACGGAAGACCTAAGGTAGAGGTTGAAGAAGCACAATCATCGAGGTAATGTCCACCTTTGGTTTTTGTTTTTTTTTTTATTAGTAGTGGAGGTATAACCACCTTTATCATTTTATTCTAAGATGTATCATCAAACAGTTCCTTAATCATTTTATTCTAACTTCTAAGATGCATCATCAAACAGTTGCATAAAGCCAATGATCCACCAAAGATTGTCCATCAATTCAGGAGGCGTTCTACAATATGAATGTCTTTATTTTCATTTATTTTTGGAATCTCCACATCAATAAAAAAACAAAAACATGCTCTTGAATTATATTTTCCTTTTTTTTTAAAGAGAAAAACAAGCTGGTTTTTAAAAAAAATAACAAATTATATAATTTATAGAAAATGATATTGAATAATCATTTTTTTTTGATATGTGGTGATACTCACTACACTACACCTATAAGCCCCCGAAGTTGGTTATTGCGGAAATCAACTCAGTATCTACAATGGAACGAACCAGCTAACAAACCAACTAAACCACCTCTTTAATTGACATGTTAAATAATCAAATAAAAAACACATACACAACCAATTACCTATTGTGTTTCGGCGACAAAAAAGCACCGGTTCTTCGACATAAAAAGGTCAAGACATAAAGTTAACAATGGTATTCAATTACAATAAAAAGGATTTAATACGAATATTTTGATCATTTCAAAATTACATTTCTTTCGCCCATTCAAAACCCGAGGGGTATTTGTATCATTTCATATCATTGATAGAAATACAAACTATATGTTAAAGTATATATTACTAATATGCAATTTACCCGGATATGATTAGTCAATTTCTTACATTAAGGGTAGTTTCAAGTGTTTTACCTCACCCTTCCATCTCATCGTTAGTTGCCAACTTTCCCTTGCACCGGTAATACAAAGAAAAGAAACGAAGTGAAAACATTCACCGAATATTTGGATTTAGAAGTTGGAACTTAGAAGCAGGAGTCCTGCTAATTGTTCTCGTCCATGCTTCCTTCACTCCTTATTTTTCCTCCGAATTTGATTGCACATTTTTAATTCTTCAATGATGATCAGGGCATTCAATTTTCTTCGGTTCTTAGTGGGGGTTTTCCTCTATCTGGTACCATGTTCTTACGGGGAATCCTCAACGTGTCTCATGGTTTACAAGGAAGGTGGTGCACCCGCAGTTTTTCAATCCCCAAAGTGTCCTCGCTGGACTCTATCTACCGATGCTGTACGAAGACGAACGGAGAATTGTCAGTCTGCCATGCTTCAGGGGAGGAGGAAGTATCAGGAGGATCGCATCGTCTGCGCTCTCGACGTGCGGATCCCGTTTCCGGGTAAGCTCAATCCCTCAATTTTTCAATAATTGGAGCTTATATATCTTCCAATTTAAGCGTATAAAATGTTGTCTCATGCCAATATGTAATCATAGGTAGTTTCTAATTTATAAAACAATGATTCCCCAATCGCTTATTCATTTGTTAGAGAGTTCACTTTCTTCTTTCTTATTTTCCCCCATGTAAAAATGTTGTAGAAAGTTCAATTAAAACAGATGTATCACATGCCATGCTGTAACTTTCATACTATTAATAAAACTTTCAATTACCGATAAAAAAACGAAAAGGATTTAGGTTGAGTTGTTTTAATTCATTTACGCATACCAACCATGTAAAGAAGAAGATAATTTATTGAAAAGTTAGTCGAACTTCACTACAAATGGTAGATTTGCAAAACTTTGAACACGGAACATATACCATATATGACATGGTTTTTTCAAATCGACTTAATTAGTGCATACCTACCAGAAAACGTAAGAAAGAAAATGTACGTTGAGAGTGAAATTAAGGTAATGCCTTTAATTGCAAGAAGATCATATTTACAAGAAATGATTGTTTTGAATGTAATTATGTAAGTTTTTAAGAGGCTTTCAAAAAATGTAAGTTTTCAAGAAGAGATGCAACATGCAGAACATTCTCATACAGGAAGATATAAAAGTGATAATAGGATAGCTGAAGAATGAGGAGAGAGGGGCTCGGAGATTCAGTTACACCATGAGGGAGATAAGGGCCCTGGCTGCATAGTTGAGATGCTTCTTCTCATGGACTCCCAGGATTACAACACAGAAAAAAAAATACTTCATTAATTAGAAGAAAACAGGATTACAACAAGAAGTTGTGAAAGAAACCAGCTTTTGGGGATATATTGTAAACTAAGCTACCTGGGGAACTGTTCTAGGGAATAAACTAAGTTAGGGAATAAACTAAGTTAGGGACTTGGGGGTTAAATGAAGTGGACTGTTCTCGGGAATTGTGAACTAAGCTATCTGGGGATATATTGTAATGTAAAAAGGGTAGCTCTCTTAATGGGATGCTCTGTTTCGTTACTGTCTTATTTATTTGATTAATAAATTAAGTTTTAGTTATTGATAAAAAAAACTCTCAAGAAGAGCTGTGATGTGAAGAGCTATGTCTTAAAATTTTAAAAAAGTTATCTCTAGAGGTGTTTATTTACTAGAAAAATAATTTATTCTTTTTTTTTTTATTTTTTTATATTCTTACATCAGAAGTGAAGCCTTTTATATAGAATACAGACAGAATGAAGGTTGTGTGGATAAAGCTTATTTTGGATGTGCCTGTGACAAGAGCAAAAATCAGAAACAATCATTCAATGTGATTTAGATTGCAATTAAGATTTTGATTTGCTGATGCTCATAAGATGCAAAGCATATCATGATTACAAAATAAAGTATATCAATGAGAAAAAAAATCAAAATTCTTTCTGCCAAGTTATACAGGAAGTGACTGCTTGTGACTTAAAATAATTGATGTTGAAGCAGGAAGTGCTGGGACTAAGGAGGTTACGGTTGGAATTGTGGGAGTTTTTGATGGTCATAATGGTGCCGAAGCTAGTGAGATGGCATCAAAACTTCTGTTGGAGTACTTTTTTCTCCACATATATTTCCTTCTAGATGGTATATACTCTGTTGCCTTGAAGAAACCAACAGGAAGGTTGCCATACAAGGGAGAAGCAGGTTTGGATTTTCAAGTCCTCAATTGGGACGAAAGACAAAATCAGCGTGATTTAGGTGCTGGAAGGTGTGTTATTTTCTTGCTTTGTTTATGCATGTAAAATGTATATGGACAAATGTTTTTTCTTTTTTTTTTTTTTGTCTTTTGTTATGCTAGAAAATAGTAGGAAACTTATTCAGGAGAAAATTGTATTTTTATTCTCAGAATTGATTCTTCTGATGTTCCAAATCACACTTGTGCTTAAGAAAAGGTCATTACCCAATTGTTGGTTCCAGCTATCTGGGGTCTTGGGAGTGGTAGACTGGGTATGGTCTAAGCCTTTGCCATTTTTTTCGCACAAAGTGGCTGTCCTCAGACTCGAACCTGTGTTCTCATACTTGCCAACTTGAGATTTTACCATTACACCATTGGTTAAAAAGGATCTTACCATTACACCAAGTAATGGCCCCTATTTTTGTGCTTCTATACCTAAAAATATCCTAAGGTGATGCTAGTCTCACTTAACTGACTTTTCAATTTATCTTAATGTTTTAAAAGGCAGAAGCATGATATCCTGCACTAGGACCTTCCAAACCTGAGATTTAGCTTAAATTTCCTGATGAGGTCTCATTTTTTACAAGAAAAAGAAACTTTAAACCATTTTTTTTTATAGAATAAGAATGCATAGATAATTAATCATCATACAAACAGAGGCTATAAAAAGAGTTCAAAAACTTTTTGATGGATGTCAAAAAAAAGAAAAAAATAAAACAGCAAGCAAAAGAATCAAAAGGATGATATGGACTTGTATATCCACTCCTTCATGATTCTGCAAAGAGGAATGAATTGCTTTAAAGACTAAGTTGAACCTCTTGAATCTCTATTAAGTCTTCTCCTACTGTAATTGTTCTCTTGTTGAATCTCAAGTATGTTGCAAGCCTGCAACTTCTCTTTCTTATGCATGTATACAAGGCAGAAAGGAAGGGTTCTGTTTGTATTTTAATATGCTGAGTTGAGGTTTGATATTGAGTTTCAATATAGTTTTTTTTTATTATTATTTTTTTCCTTTTGATTGGTAACTATTAAGACTTAGATCACAAAGAGCAAGATATGTACAAGGTGCGAAGCATCCCTAGGTACAATGGGCTGGCTATTAGCCACCTTATTCAAACTTCATATTCACATTAAAAATGAGCCCAAAATAGTAGGTCCCTTTTCGCCCCTTGTTTGGCCAAAGCATCAGCTAAACTATTTTCTGATCTTTGAGCTGAAGAGAATGCAGAATCCAACTCCTATACCAAGTGTCTTATCTCTGTAACAATGTGTTGGTGCTACCATAATCCCTTGGATGTTATTTACCATCCAACACACTACCACTTTTGAATCTCATTAATCCAATACATTTTTGAGAGATGCTCATCTGCCCACTCTCAAGCCTTGTAATACCATTGGCAGTTCAACTCCTACGGTGTCCCCATATCCAATTAGACCAGAGTATATTGCTAATATGGTTCCATGCTTGTTTTTATACACCCCACCTATGCTTGAAAGTCATGAGTTCCCACTTCCCAATGCTATAGCAATCAAAGTTCATCTTTATTTGGTCAACACTTGGTGGATTCCATTGTACTTGATCTACACCCCTTGTGATAAGCAACCCATAGCCATGGTCAAATGTCCAAAGGTTTTACCTAATGCACTACTTTCACTAAAGTGTTTTAAATGATTACTTGTTGCTTCTTGCCTTCTTGTTGAACATTCTCTCATTCCTTTCTTCCTTATTGTCCATACAATTGTATTCCATTTTCATCATCAACAGAACAACTATTGCTTATCACACTTATTTTTATTTGATGTGATTAATATAAAACATTAGCAAATTTCTGTATTTTTTTATATATTTTTTGTAAATTTACTTTTTTTTAGTTTTCTAATACTTAACTTTGACATCACGGTTGACACGTTTGACCGAAAAGATTGAACTTTTGACCCATACCAAATAGAAAAACAATTTTATTTCTAGGTTAGTTTTAAACATTGTATTTCATTTCAAACGTCAATAAAAACAACTATTGTTCATCATACTTATTTTTCTTTAATATGATTAATATAAAATATTATAGATGTCCTCGGTTTTTCTTCATTTTTTATTTTTCTATTTTTTTGGATTTATTTCTATTTTAAAAGTTTTGTTATTTAACTATGACATCATGGGTTTACCCATTTGACTTGGATGGTTGAATTGCTTACCTAAAAAACATTTTGATTTTTAGGCCAATCTAAAATTTTAAAAATATCGGTTTTATTTTGTTAGAAGTACTGGATATAGATCTAATTGATAGAATGCTTAAATATGGGATTCGATGAGAGAATTTTTTTACATTTTTTTATTTTTATAATTTTTGTATTTATTTCTATTCAAAAAGCTTGATGGTTAAATTGCTTACCTGAAAGACACAATGAGTAGGAAAAAAAGCTGATGGTGTGAATGGTTTCTAGTGGCCCCCTGCCATTGTATGTGCAAATAATGTTTGCCTCTACAATTTTCAGTTGGAAAAAGAAGAGGGGAAGGATAATGTGATGTGTGAGGTCTGCTATAAATTGGACCATATGGGAAGAAAGAAACTCAAGATTATTTTCAGACAAGGAGAAAAGCAAAGGAAGCTATCATAGAGGTGGTTTTGAATAGAGTGGTACCCTAGATCAAGTCCTTGGAAGGAAGTTGCTTCCTCAGCCCCGGTCAAGGAATAAGGATGCCTTAATTCCCCTTCTGGAGAGGTGATTCTCTCTACGGGTTGTGAGCTATTGGCGGTAATGGAAGGGATAAAAAGGGCAAAGGATATGAACATTAGAAAGCTAGAGGGGACTCTAAGTTGGTGATGGGGTGGCTAAAGGAAGAGAAGAGTGAAGTTTGGAACTACAACAATGAAAGGAGGAAGTTCAAGTGGCTAACACAAGACATTGAAGTAAAGGTGCTGTGGGTCAAAATAAGTTCCAATTCCTTTGTTGATGGTTTAGCAAAGCAAGGAGTGAATAGGGTTCTATGTTTTGGGATCAATTGTAATTGATTTAGTTGAAAGTGCAATAAATCTGATTTGATTTGAAATCTGTGATAAAAAGAAGAAAAAGAAAAGTTTGTGCAGAGAAGAGAAGAAGAGAAAGGTTGAATTGAATAGGTAGAAGCCAGAAAAAGTGATCTGCTGCCCCTTTCACTATCTTATATACTCATAATTAAAAAAATGAATATACCCTTAGTAAGTCGGCTATTACTAAAAACACAAGAAAACACTCTTAACTAAGCATAAACTAATGGGCCTTAGGCCCAATAACTCTAGCTAAACATTAAAAATAAAAACAAATATTATTAGGTCAATCTCAACATTCCCCCTCAAATTGGGAATAGATGTCACACACTCCCAATTTGCGTAGATCATGCTCAAGCTTGTTTCTTGCAACACCTTTTGTAAGAACATCAGCTAGTTGTAAGTCAGATGCAACATATGGTAAGCACACTTCTCTAGATGTCAACCTCCCCCTTATAAAGTGTCTATCCACTTCTATATGCTTCACCCTATCATGTTGAAGTGGGTTGTGGGCAATGCTAATTGCTGCTTGATAGTCATAGTATAATACCATAGGTTCTTCTGCCTCAATTCCAATCTCTCCTATCATGGATTGGACCTAGAGGAGCTTTGAGACACCATGTGCCATGGCTCTGTATTCAGCTTCTGCGCTTGACCTTGCTACAACTGATTGTTTCTTACTCTTCCATGAAACTAGATTATCTCCAACAAGAATGCAAATTCTTGATGTAGATCTCCTGTCATCTAGGTACCTCGCCCAATCGGCATCTGTGTAAGCCTCTAACTTCACATGCCCATGATCAGTAAACAATATGCCTCTACTTGGGTGTCCCTTCAAATAGGCAAGTATCTTGTCAATAGCCTTCCAATGCTGAACTTGTGGGGCATGCATGTATTGACTCACCACACTCACTGCATAAGAGATATCTGGTCATGTCATGCATAAGTACAAAAATTGGTCCACCAATCTCTGATACCTTCCAACATCCTTCATTTTTCTGCTACTTCTCTCCACCCAACTTTTCTTCTCTAAATATTCCTGTAAAATCATAGAGAAAGGGCTCCATCCCAAGGTTTTCTTGCCTTGAGGGGTACAGGTAATTTTGTTTTATACTTGGGACAAAGAGTTTAGTTAGGCTCAAAAACCATCCTTTGTTGCTTCCTTTTCTCTCTGCTGCATAACACTTCACTTCCTGTGTTATCATATTTCTCCATTTAGGTGTCAATCCATGCATATGACTCCTTAAAGAAACCCTTTAAACCACACCAGCGTTCTCCAATTGTGAATACTGCTCGTTTCTGAACTTCTTTTATCTTTTTTTTTTGTAATAAATAAAAAAGTAAATTTATTAATAAAAAGAAAAAAAAGAAGATACGGCAAAGGTGATAAGATATCACCACCAGAAAAAAATAACCTTAAGACCCAAATTTCAGAACCCCCACCCTTTGTAGTACAAACTTTTCCTTTCCCACTGCTTGAAAAATAAAAGAGCCTCATTACCCAAATCCAAACTCATCAAGAATCCAAAATAAAATATTAACTCCCCCTACATCCCAAAATCTATACTCGATTTACTTCTCAAAGCTCTGCAATGACTTTTTGAGTCCAAAGAGTACTTATGTTCCGATTCCTTGAAGGCTTTTCTTGCATTCTCCTCCACGGTTCCACAATAAACTTTTTGTGGCCTCAATATTGAAGAATAGCCCTCTACTTGTTTGCTGATGAGAAAGCCTCCTCTGTTTTTTTTAAGGAGACATGTTTTTTGAGAGAAAAAATGTTTTTCAAGGAAATATGTTGCATTGACATTCTTTGATAAAAGAACAATATTGCCCATGAGTTGATGTCAAAGATATTATCACAAGAAGTTAGTGTCTAAAATGATAAATGGTCAATTTGATAATATGTAGGAAGAGTTTTAAATCTATTTTAATATGTTGACTTCTGATTTTTAAGTTAGATGTTTAAGATAGTTGGCTAACATTAGGTTTGGGATAGAGGTCTAAAGATAATTTACCCCTCACTGCTAAATGAAGTTTGTGGGGAACACTTATGTCCATAAAATATCTGGGAAAAATAATTGGCCATTCAGATGTAAAGCCCATAAAACTAGTGCTAATTTGTCTCTGTCTCCTTCAGATTTTTAATTACTGGATATATTAGGATGGTAATTACTAGTTTCACAAAAGCTGGGAACAAAATGGTCAGAAAAAGGCTAGGACAAATAGGACACAATAGGAAATACTGCATTGAACTGATACTTATATAAGTATATAGATTCATGGGATAAATTTCTGCCCCAAAACCTTGCCTTGTGTTCAAATCTCGTTCAGTACCTATTGATAAAAAAAAAATATCGTTCAGTACCTGATGACCCAAGTAGTGAACCTGCTCTCTGACTTTTCTAATGGTGTATTACTGCATTCATATATGAGCTTTTGTAGACGCACTTCTATTTCATGCTGCTGTCACAGGTCTAAATGGATGTTACTTGAGATTTTTGGTGGTTTCTTCAATCTTTTTTCCTTCTTTTCTTTGAGTTCAGCGATGGATCATTTCACATGGAAATATTGAAGGAATCATTATTGAGGGCAATCCATGATATAGATGAAAAGTTTTCCAAGGCAAGGGCTGTATTATTGTTCAATTGTGTTTTTTTGCCATTTATCTTATGCTTTTATTTAAATTTATTAAATAACTGTAGGAAGCTTTGAGATATAACCGTGATTCGGGATCTACAGCCACTGTGGTTCTTAAGGTTGATGGACAAATTTTAGTAGCTAATGTTGGAGACTCAAAAGCTCTTCTATGCTCAGAAAAATTGCAGTCTTCTCAAGAAGCTAGAGGTTTGGCATTTTCTTTTTTGATGATATATTAAAGTTTGCTAATTAGTACCAGGGAAAGAAACCCCATGTACAAAGGTTTCAAGTAGAGGTTCTATCTTTTGGCTTAACAATTTTTCTTCCCCTGTCATGAATACATCCCGCACCCCCCCCCCCCCAAGTTCATGAAGAATCATGAATAGAGTAGCTGATTACTGGTATAGAATTTGAGTGCTATTCCCAAATTATATTTTGAAAATAACAATTGTAATGATAGCAGTGAAATCAATAAGTTGAGTTCTTTCCTTTAGCCTGTACGAATCATGTGGACCAGCGACTGGGTGGCTCCCTTTAAGATGATGCATCCTCCTCTAGATGATTCTGGTGATGACAGCAATGAAATCAATTATATTTTGAAAATAACAATTGTAATGACAGCAATGAAATCAATAAGTTGAGTTCTTTCCTTTAGCCTGTACGAATCATGTGGACCAGCAACTTGGTGGCTCCCTTTAAGATGATACATCCTCCTCTAGATGATTCTGGTACATAAGGGGCAGCTGACCCATCAGGGGCCTTCTTGGTTATATCGTTCTTTCATTTTATTTCTTCTTCTGTGGACCTTCGCTTTCCTCACCAAGCTATTTGGGTGAAAGCCTCTAAGATTTCCTTCTTTGCTTGGACTGCTGCTTGGGCAAATGTCTCGCTTCTGATAATTTGGCAAGGAGAGGAATGACCTTGGAGTTTACCCTTTGTTGGCTGTGTTCTTCCGATAGCATATCAGTCAATAACTTGGTCATTTATTGCAGTTTTTCCATGTTACATAATTGGAGGCTTTTTTGATGACAATTGATAGTGGTTTGGTGATGGTTTGTGGACTTTGGTAGCAATATGAGAGGTTCCTTGCTGTCTAGTTCTGTTTGTAATGATTCTTGTTAGCTGATTCATAATCATAAAGCTGTATCAGGAGTGTGTGATTTTTTGATTTTTATTGCCAGGAGTTAGTATGATGGGTTATTTGAGATTGCTTTTGTTTGTGAAAATGTGGGATTGCATGCTGTTATTCTCCTCTTTCTGGGTGATTCCTTATCACATATTTTCCATCTTTTTCTTTTAATGAAAACTAAACTTTACCATAAAAAAGGTGCTCCTTCAGATGCAGGGATGAGGAGAAAACTCCCACTGAGATACCTAATGATAGGTCACCTCCAGCAAGACCAACTTATGGACACCTAATTTTTGATTGTTTTGAGATCCAGATATTCTGGATGAGTCCCATCAAAATGTCTCACCAGACAGCAATGAATGGTTGACAACCGGAATAGATATTGTGCCTTCCACAGAAATCCATAATTATACCATGTCATTCTCAGATCCTTTGTGTCATGATAGATGTATAAGAAGCCAGACATATATACTGAATGTTTTAACTCTTACGCAGAAAACAGATAGATGATGGAGAGAGAAGAAAATAGAAAGAGGAATAATAAGTTAATAATGTAAAAACATTTCTTTTCTTTATCAGTGACAATCGACTTCTAATAAATAAGTAAAGAGCAAAATTGAAAAAAGAGTCCAAGCATGGTTCAATCAATTGAGTAGTTCCAAGTTTTAAAATAAGACTATCCATTAATAAGCAAACAAAAGTTTTAACTCTATACAATTCTGTATTTGTGTTCTAGGCACCCGATTTAGCTAATTCACTTGCTAAAAAACTTAGGACTAGGTTTGAGAAGGATAAGGGTTCTTGGCAAAGTGCTGCTTGGAGCCTTGGAAAATGGTTCTGGAGGTCTGGAGATAGAAGGATTCTTTTTGGAGAAGAGTGGTTGCTTGTAAATAAGGGGTTTGTGCTTTGGTTGGGACTCTTAGAGAGGTGTCATCTTCATATGGGACATGCGTGTGAAGGGTATTGAATTTTTCCAGCAATCCTTTTTTTCAGATTTCAAGATTTAAAGTTGGAGACAGCACAACCATTAGATTTTGGGAGGATGATTGGGGCAGGGCAGTGAAGCTTTCAAATCTTGGTCCTAGATTTTGTTGGTTGTCAACTAGAGAGTCCATTAATAAATTAAAATAGAGTGCATGAGGAGCAAGCATTTATTTATCTCTTTTTTTGATCAATAACTGCAGATTTCATTAATTAATTAAAACAGAGTACATGAAGAGCAAACAAGAGGGGAAATAAGCTCTCTTAACTCTCCTCAAAAGCTTAAAATAGAGTTACAATTGAGCCCAAAAAAGTTGGTTTCTTTCCACCCCTTGCTTTGCTAGTACACCAGAAAAGGCATTAGCAGTTCTTTTAACCAATCCTATTCTCACACCCATGTCTTGTGTCAGCCATTTGAAATTCTTTCTTTCACTGTTGTAGTTCCAAAGTCCAGCTTCTTCCTTTTGCAGCCATCCCACGACCAGCTTTGAATTACCTTCTATAATCAACTTGTTAATGTTCATGTTCCTTGCCCTTTGCACTCCTTCCATTAGAGCCAAAATCTTAGCCCTTAAAGAATTTTCTACACCAATTGGCCCTGAAAATAAACCAATAATTCAGCTTTCCTCATCTCTGATGACACCTCCAATACCTGATGGACCTGGGTTCCCTGCACTACTCCCATCAAAATTAAGCTTGATGAAGCCACTAACTGGTGGAGACCATGATGGGCTTGTAATAGACTTATGTCCTTTAGAACAAGACACTTCCTTCCAATTTCTCATTATGTCACCTGAGGAAAAATCAGCGAAGAGCTCCAAGTATTTAAACCACTGAATCACCCGAGGAAGAAGAAGAAGAAGAAGAAGAAGAAGAAGAAGAAGAAGAAGAATGGCGGCATACACACTTCAGCCGGCCCTATTAACATTATATAGATGTTTACAAAGTAATGTTACAAGAATGGACTAGAATGCCCCTGATTAGTGATGGGACACCTAGACATAAAAAAAGAATAAAACAAG